TAACCTGTGACAGGAAAGGACTACTGGTTTCAAAGGCAGCTGTCCCCTGAGTACACTGGGTGTGTAAAGCACTCATAGGACTCTGCGAACAATTTGATCTTGTCAGGTACATGACAATAACTCAGAAGGGCTAATGGGAAATGAGATATGAATGGCATTGACAGATGGAGAAGGCATCACTCCAGAGAGACTAATTCTTCAACCTGTTCCACAAAACCTCAGGATCCGTACATTACGGGTATTCTCTTTATACAGGACCAAGAGATTCTCAACTGTTAGAGGGGAAATGTTCATCTCCTCTGTCTTACAACATGGAATACAGAACACATAGGGTGACTTCCTCCTTTTCTGCATCCTCTCCACTTTCTTTTAGAGAAATAAAGTCACCTGAGCACAACCCACAGCCAAACTTTTCGGCTGAACCTTGCAGAGCTGGTGCCGTTACTCACAGCCTGTTGGGTTTCAGAATGAACCCCTAATCCCAGGACTCTCTGAACCTTTTCCTTCATTTGACCCAAGTTTCTGCTCACTCGTCTTTCCCTACTTCCCCACGTTCTCTGGAACTCTTCCGACCACGTCTCCCACCCCACCTAGACCCAGACACCATGGCCAGTTACCAAAAAGCACTGCCCTCCCCTGCTCCAGGGCCTTTGATTTCCTCCTTTCCTGCCATTCCACATCCAGGGCCCCCCAAGCTCCACAGGGACTTGGCACCTTTCTGCGGCAGATCAAGTCACAGGGCTTGGGCAGGAAGGAGGGGACTGAGTCTCAGCCTCACCCCCCTCCAGCACACAACTGTGCACGACGTCCTGACTCTGCCCTTCCCTCTCCTGGGCCTCCAAACACCCCTGGAGAAAGACCTAGAAAGATGCTGTGCAACATGATCTGGTCTCAGCAACCCTTTTACACGCCCCCTCTTCCCCCAAATAATGCCTTTTCCAAGCTTGATGCCAGCTGTTGCTGACACTCCAGTCCAACCCAAGACCCCACGTCCCAAGTGCGCCCCTGGGGGCCTCCGCAGCTCCTCATGGGACTAGAACTGAGGTAAGCAGAGCCCTCAGCTCTCCGTGACTTTCCCTCACCGCCTTCTCTCCCTCAATCCCCTCAGCCTCCGTCTCACACTCGTAAGAAATACTTTAAACTCACTAAGCCAGGCGTCCCCAAACTACGGCCCGCTGGCCACATGTGGGCCACCTAGCACATTTATCCAGCCCTCTGGGTGTTTTTGCCACCATTGCCTGTCCTGCTTAGCAGCCGACTCGTCACAGGCCCATAGTGCGCACTCTCCAATGGTCTGAGGGACAGTGAACTGGCCCCCTGTTTAAAAAGTTTGAGGACCCCTGCTCTAGGCAATACATTTAGCCCATGCCATGCTTAGGCCACGCTGCCATGTGCTACGGTCCAGTACGGGATCCTTTGGGAGAACAAGAAACAGGGAGAATGAAAGACAATGGGGAGCTGGCCAGAGAGGGAATGGGCACACGGGGCCACCTATACCAGTCACATCCTAATTTTATACTGTCTCCAATGGCCACCTTGAGGGAGTCTTACATGGTCGCAAAGAAGGTGTCCCTGAGCTCCACCCCTCCAAACCCACAACCAGCAACATGCAGTCAAGATAAAACTGAGCACAGTGCTTTTTGTTTTTCAACATGCAGGGGGAAAAAATCCCTTCCTCAAATAAGACTCAAGTAGAAAATATTCTGGCTCACCACTGAGTCTACTCCACCAGTGGATACTTATGAAGTGGCCCCCCATGCACCTGTCACCATGCCTGGCACAGCTGCTGGGATCAAATGGGGTAAGAGGTGACAATATCTGATAAGCTGGAAAGAGATCCCCGTTCATCAGTCATTCTTATCCTCTCCCCTACCCAACGAGACTAGGAATTCCTTGTGGGTAGAAACTCTACCCTTTGCCTGGCACACAGCAGGCCCTCTGGGAGTGGCTGTTGAATGACTTCAGCAGTGCACGCCTGTGGCTGAGACATTGCTCATCTCCACTCCATCGTCCACCAGCCCTGGCATAGGCCTAGGCTGTCGCAGCAGCCTCTGAGCCCGTCTCCCTGACTCACATGACTTTTACCTCTCTTTTGGAAGATGAGCCCATACCTTCTTTTTATGTTAGCGATCGACCGCTTGGAACAAAGTTAGGCGCTCGAGCACACGCATGCGCATAAAACCACGAGAGAATACAGACAGTGAATGGATGGGTCCATTTACAATGCTCTGCCCTCTAGCAACCTTTCTTTCAAAGGGCCATGCTGGCTCAAACATGTGGAATTGGCCTCCTGTTCCTCGTCTGTCTAGCGACACAAAACAAAGGAAAGACAAAACTTCCTCACGAACTGTTGTTTCTGCACATTGCAGCCACACCTTCCGGTTACACCTACTTTGACCTACCCAAGACCCAGCGTGTGGCGGGGGTTCGATCTACCCGATTTAGTTTCTTCCTCCTAGCGTCTGAATCGTTCACCTTATACATCTATCAAGAGACTTAAACAACTCAAGCATTTTGGATGATAAGACGCAGCAACCAAAATAGTGGTAAAACAAAATTCCTATAGTTACACAGACCACAACTAATCTCCCAATTTTTTTATAAGAACACTGTAGAATCCATATGCTGTGCACTAAAAGTGAACACACTGTAATCTATTGAAATGAATTTCATTCCAGTACTGCCCTTTTCTACCTAGGCTTTTGGGCTTTATTTTAAATCTACTCCCTCTTCCATCCACATGTGTGACTTCCTTCCCTGGTTACCCAAAATAACTCCGTCAACAAAATATTAGCATAGTGAAGTGGGTGCTCAATAAACATTTGTTGAATAAATGAATAAGTGAGTGAATAATTATAAACTTCTGAACTCAGGCTCCCTGAAAGGTTCACATTAGTGTATAGAATAATGTGCTTGTATGTTCAGGTATATACATCAAAATGGAACTTAAGTAGCAGTTAAATATTCATTCATTTCTGTCTTAATAATTCTACTTCAAAACATTATACAATCCAACTCTGATAAATACGTGCTGAGATAGAGTTCATTTACAATCAAACCACTCGTGTTTATACACTTTAAAATAAGATTTGAAATATTAATGCTAATATGGAAATAGTTAAGAACCGAAATGTTGGTGTGCCTATAGCACCAAAGGCCTAAAAGTACTGAAACACGCATTTATGTTACACCTGCATGTCTGTTCCTGAAATATGTAATCAATACAACTTTTTAATCATACTTCTGAAAAAAAGATTGCACAAAAAGTATCTATTACAGCCAGTTAACAAGGAGCACCTTCACGGGAACTTTTTTCATTTTAAAATATGTAACAAGTAGGCCAGTGAGAATGTATTGGAAAATTTATTGAGCATAACAGCTGATATTTAGCAAATCTTAAGTCTAATACACAATATAAAACGTAGTTTTACCAGTATCGAAAAATGTAGTATTTCTTTAGGTATATGCTGGCATATTTGTTTCACTCACCTACTTTTGATCACACTGTTAGAAAATAATTGGACATAAAATAGTCTGAATATAAGTTTGTTCTTAGTGAGTTCGCTGCAAAGAAGTCAAGAAATAAGCTAGCAAATAATTCTTTTTAACTTCAAGAAAAAAAAATTGGTCTTAAATAAACTAAATAAGTGATATAATTAGCGAGCCTAAATGACAAGAGGTTATGGTAAATGTTTAAGAAGTAAATGGAAGTAAATATAAATCGGTAATAAGACGGTCGATATTAAAACGTAGCTCTGATTTAAACTTATTTACCGAACTTTCTTTTTGTTTCATATACTGTTGTTTTCAGAAAAGGCATGAATGATCCTGTAATCAGTTCAAAAGGAAGACTGCAGTCATGCAAACATTGCCTATCAGCACGTCTTTCATGTCTTGGCGTCCATTTTAGGAGTATCAGCGAGGTAGTGGATAAAGGAGCTTATAAAACAAAGGTTGTCATGTTGGCAACCCACATAAACATTAAGTGACTTCATTTTATTGAAGATCAAAATGTTGATTAGCAAAAAAAGTTGAAGAAAACACTGAAGCTTAAATATTCAAACCCCTGTGTTAGATTTTTTTTTATATGTTTTAAAATTGTATTTGGATATTAAATGCCATTTTCAGGCTTGCTGATGTGTCCCTACAATTTTATGAAAATCATCTCAAACAATTGATCACTTAAGGTGCGCAATAGAAAGCTATAGGCAGTTTTTGTTTTGGGGGGTTTTTTGTTTGTTTTTTTGTTTTTGGTCAAAGGATTAACAAAATCAATGATTACATACTCAAAACAAAAGCATAGATTCTGGAGTAGTCTTTTATAACTGCCCAAAATGATTGCTACTTATGCGAATATTTACAATTTTCCTGTATTCTTTCAGGATATAAAATAAAGAGAAAATACATGATTACAGGAAGTTATAGCCTGATTCTACAACTCAAACTCTCTTCTTTAGAAATAGAATACTCACTGACAATGAGGGTGGTCCACAAAAACACATGCCTTACAGTTAACCTCTCCTATAATAATGCTTTTTTAAGAGCAGAACTGTCACAATGCAACTATAACCAGGGCTAACAGGAAGTATTTATTATTAAGAAATTAGATACGAAGCATATATGCAAATAAAACACCAGGTAGTATTAAAAAGAAAATCGATGAACTTTCCAGATTACTGAAAACATTTTGAGAGAGCCAGGCTGTAGTCACCGTTTAATTATAAAATCTAATCAAAACTAAAAACAATGGAATTTTTCTCCAGGTATTTCAAACACAGCTCCCTACTTCTGGTCCACGAGATTTTAAATTTCTGTTGTCTACCATTCCCAGCCATTTCTGCCAACATCATAAAAATTACCTTTCATCATTTCCTTCTCACAATGAGAATTCACTAATCGCATACATCTCTTAGACATAGACACCTCCCCACCCACCTCCCAAAAATGGTTCAGAGCAAAAGACACACACACACACAAAAAAAAATAATGACCAAGCTCACATTTCTTGTTTGCCCTTCAAGCGAAGTCTGGTGTCTTCTGCTTGCCTTTCTGGTCTTCACTGTTGTCACTAATTGCTGGGGGGATGTAGTTTAGGACAGCATGAAGCAGCAGAAATAAAAGCTGTGGCTTTAAGAAAACGCTTTCTTAAACACATGGATAAAACAACTTTGACTCTGACTTCCTGGCTGGGTTGCATAAAATCTTAGAAAGGCTCCTTGAAAAAAGTTAAATGTCTACAAACGGGAAAAAAATAAAATAAAATAAAATCTAAAAAAAACTTACGTTCTGAACACATTCCGAAGGAGGTCTGATTTGATTTGAAAGCAGGTTTGTATTGATGCACAAACTTTATTTTGCAGAAAATTAATGTTCTCTCTAATGAGAAATCTGCCTTGCCATCTTCTATAGGAATCCTGTCTCTCATGGTATAATCATACATGCAAAAAAAAAAAAAAGTCAAATACAGTATTTCCCAAATGCATGGACACTGTGGAAGCTTCGTTTTGAAAAAGGCTTTTATTTCCCCTAATACTGGTGACTAAACGTCATTGTATGTACCAACACTTTCAAATAGCCCAAGAGACTTAAAAAGCCTTCTAAGTTTGAAAACCAAAAAGTTCTGAGTTTTTCTGTACCCCAGGACGGTTTTCTTTCCTGAAGCTCAAGCCGAGACAGCAGACAAAAGAAGCTGATTTGACTGAGCTGTGCCAAGTCTTGCCTTTTTTTCTTTCCTCAGCTCTCCCTCTGCCTCTCTCTCTCTCCCTCTTTCTCTCTCTCACTCTTTTGCTCCCAGTATGGCAACCTTCCGAGCAGTCTTGGCGGAGGTCCAGGCTGTGCCAGGCTGTCTGAATTCTTGTCTCCAAAAGATGTCCTTTGCGGATCAATTAATACATTTGAAAACAGGAAACCGTGGTGCGGTACCCAAATCCTGGCACCGACGGCATCGACTTCTGCCAAATCACCTTACGGATTTCATGGTATCCTACCTTTCGTAATCACCACTAACATGTTCCTAGAGCAATAATGGAGTACTACAAGCCATTCACTGCTCGGCGATAAGGAATCTGTTCCCTAGAAATGTCCACATGCGACATATGCACAACCTGCAGTAAATCAAAATTCTCCTGTGAGAAGAGATGTATGTAACTTTAATAAGCACCACATACTGTATTTCTTTTTATAAGACTTGCTTTCTCCTTGTCCTGCTGCAAAGAATCATGGGAGAATAGAAAAGGAGGCATGCAGATTAAAATTAAAACTGTATGCCCAAAAAAGTCATGCTTGATCCTATAGGGAATGAACATAGTTCTGATTGATCAGCAACTGTCATTTTTTAAGGAGACTCTAATATAAACTTTACCTATTTAAAAATTTTATTGGAGGATTTCTTTGCAAAACAGAAATATCAATAAATAGGGAAAGAAAAAAGCCTAGAGTGGATTTAATAAAATGAAGTATCCTTTTTATATTTTGACACCTCAAGTTCCAACATAGTCACTTGTTTACTAAATTTACTAAATTCAGTATAATCTAATAAGCATAACTGAACATTGTTTGTTTTTATTTGTAGCATGCACATCTTCTGAAGCAAAATAGCCAGTCTATACTTCAAACATTTATCTCGTTTAAGAAATCAGTTTTCCCATTATGCCTGAAAATAGAAAATAGGCACACTCTCAAATCACCATGGTTTCACAGAAAGAACCCAGAATAGTGAGTTCAAGTCCTTGGTTCTGTGACTTTCTCAAAGTGCTTAACCTATTAATAGTAATAAATCAATACTCAGTTTGCTCATCTACCAAATATAAAAATCAATGACTTCCTACTCTGTGCTCCCAAAATATTCTGTTTATACATGTAGTGTACCTTCATCCTAATTGCACAGTAGTTAATTGAGTGTGAGTGCTCAACCAACCAAATATGTCCTCCTCACAGGCAGGGCCATGTGTCACTTACCTAAGAAAATGGAAAGTCTTGCACTGACCATTCCATACGTAGGCGTTAAACAAACCTATTAAGTGAATGAGTAGTAAGAATGGATCACATAAATACCACTCTGAAGTTCTATAAACCAAGAAATATGATAGTGAGTAACAAAACCACATATTACTAAATCCTAAAGTTGATAGTTAAGGGAAATGTTACAGAGATAGCACAAAAGTTGAATTAAAGCACTAACAAAAGTGTCCCATGCCATCCTTTCAAACAGGGATGATGAAATGTGGGCAGAATAGCAGTGGTTTTGTAATTCATAATCAGGCTGCTGGCAGCCAAAGACAAAGAGGGACTCCTGAAAGCAGCAAGAGAGAAGTGACTCATCGGTAAGATCAACAGCTGATTTCTCATTAAAAACCATGGAGGCCAGAAAGCAGTGGGATAACATAGTCAAAGTGCTAACAGGAGGGAAAGTATCAACCAAAAATTCTTTATCAGCAAAACTATGCTTTGAAAATGAAGGCGACATTAAAATGTTGCAGATAAACAAAAACAGAGGCTTCATCTCTAGCAGACCCACCCTATACGAATTAATAAAGGAACTTTCCTCCAGGCCAAAATGAAAAGACACTAGACAGTAAGTCAAATCCATATGAAGAAACCTGAAGTACAAGTAAAGGTAACTGCAGAAGTGAATATTAGAAATGGTATAAATGTACTCTTTTCCTCCTTATGTTGATAAGCACACAACATATAAAGACATAATATGTAAGATGTAATAAGAGGGTAAAGGAGCAATAGAACAGAGCTGTATAGGAGCAAAGTTTTTATATACTGTTGAATTAAGTTGGTGGGTTTTTTTCTTTTTTTCTGTCCTTTGTAGGCCAGGAGAAATTAAGTTAATATTAATCTGAATTAGATTGTTATAAATTAAGTTGTTAACTGTAATCCCCAGGGCAACCACTAAGAAAAAAACTCAAAAATATATAGATAAGGAATTAAAATGTTACTCTAGAAAATATTTAACACAAAAGGAAGCAGAAATGGAGGAACAGAGAACAAAAACTACAAAGAAATATGGAATATATTAAAATAGCAAAATTAACTCCTACCTCATCAGTAATTACATTAAACTTAAATGAATTAAACATGCCAATAAAATATATAGATTGGCAGAATGGATTAAAATTTTGAGATATGATTCAACTATATGCTATCTATGAGAGTCACACTTCAGATTCAAAGATACAAATAGGTAGAAAGTAAAAGGATGGAAGAAAATATGTCACACCAACAGTAACCAAAAGAGAGCTGGCATGGTTATACTAATAGACAAAATAGACTTTAAGACAAAACTTGTTACTAGAGATAAAGAAGGACATATTATAATGAGAAAGGGTCAATTTAAGAAGAAGATACAACCATTATAAGCATATATAACAATAGAACCCCAAAATACCTAAAGCAAAAACTGGAATAATTGAAGGGAGAGATATAACTCAATAATAATAGTACCAATACCCTTCATTCAATAATGGCTAGAACAACTACACAAAATAACAGCAAGGAAATAGAAGATTTAACCAATCCTATAAATCAAATAGTCCCAGTAAACATCTACAGAACACTCCACCCAATAACAGCAGAATCATATTCTTCTCAAGTACACCTAGCACATTCCCCAACAGACAATATGTTAGGCCATAAAACAAGCCTCAATAAATTTAAAATGCTTAGATCATACAAAGTATATTCTCCAGCCACAATGGAACGAAAATAGAAATCAACACAGGAAAAAAACTGGAAAGAATCACAAATATATGAAAAATAAATAAAACTCCTAAATAACAAGCATAAAAGCATTTGAAATATCCAATACCCTTTCATGATTTGGAAAGAAAAAAACAACACTGAACAAAATGGGGCTAGAAAGGGATTTTCTCAACCTGATAACCGGCACCCATGAGAAATTAACAGCTGGCATCACACTTAGCATGAAAGCTTTCTCCCTAAGACCAAGAACAAGATAAGGATGTCTGCTTTCCTCACTTCTATTCAACATCACACTGGAGGTTCTATATAGGACACTTAGGCAAGAAAAAGGGGTAGAAGGCATCCAGGTAGGAAAGGAAGAAGTAAACCTAACTCGATTTATGGATGACATAATCTTAATCTAGAAATCCTAAGGAATCCACCAAAAAAAAAAAAAAAAAAAAACTTAATATAACTAGTCAGTGAGTTCAAATACAAAAATTAACACATGAAAACCACTTGCATTTCTACACATTAGCAATGAACAATCTGAAAATGAAATTAAGAAAACAATTATATGTGCAATGGCACCAAAAAGAATAAAATACTTAAAAATAAACTTAACAAAGCACAAGGCTTGTGCATGAGAAGTGCATTGTTGAAAGAAATTAAAGACAACCTAAGTAAATGGAGAGGCACCCCATGTTCATGAATTGGGGGAATTAATATTGTTAAGATGGCAAGATTCTCCAAACTGATGCAGAAATTCAACAAAATTAGCCTCTTACACAGAGTAAACACTCTAAATTAACTAGACCCTTGTCCACCTGAATCTGCTCTAGGAATCTACCCAGCAAACTCTGGCAGGGTCCTCAAATTTTTTAAACAGGGGCCCAGTTCACTGTCCCTCAGACCGTTGGAGGGCCGTTGGAGAGTGTGGCGCACATTCCACACATGCGCACTGTGGGCCCTGGACGAGTCGGCTGCTAAGCGGGACAGGCAGTGGTGGCAAAAACACCCGGCGGGCTGGATAAATGTCCTCGGCCGGCTGCATGTGGCCTGCAGGCAGTAGTCTGAGGACCCCTCTAGTGCCTCACTTGGATTTGACTTCTCGGTTCCCAGCTAACTGCAGCATTCCTGTTCCTATCCAAGCACCGCTCCCTCCCGCCAGCTCTCTGGGTACAGACTCCTCAGATGGCTCCTGCTCCCCTGGACTGCCAGGCCCTAGTGTGCTCAGAATTCTGACAGCCAGCCTCCTCCACATGTCACCGAATCTTCTCTTCCCACGACTTGCCCAGCTCTCCGTGGGCACTGGGCAGGCAGGGTCCCTCTCGGTACTAGCCCAGGATGGGACTCATTCCTTCAGCACTGCTATGGTGTGGGTGTGGTTGGTGTGTCCCCCCCAGTGTCACATCGAAATGTGATCCCGGTGTGGCAGTCAGTGCTGGAGGTGTTGGATCCTAGGAGCTGGCCCAATCCTCATGAATGGCTTGGTACATTCTCACAGTAGTGAGTTCTCTCTCATGACACTGGATTGGTCCTCAGGGGAATGGATTAGGCCCCCCTAGAGTGAGTTGTTACAAAGCCAGGCTGCCCCTCCGCCCTCTTCTCATGACCCCACTGCCCCTCTGACCTTCTCCAAAACCCCTCACCAGAAGCCAAGCTGACACCCGCACCGTGAGTCTTGGACACCCTGTGGAACTGTGAGCTACATGAACTTCTTTTCTTTATAACAATAACTAATACTTATTGAGTACTTACTACGTGCCACACACTGTTCTAAACATTTCATTTACTCTTCATGATAACAATGTCTGCCTCTTAAGGATATTACCAACCCCATTTTCAGGCTAGGAAATTGATCACAGAGAGTTTAACTAGCTTGACCATGGTCACAGAGTTAAGAAGTGGCAGGGCTGGGACTGAGCCCCGGCAGTCTGTGCCCCTAACCACCACAGCTGAGCTGACTCCCATGAGAAACGATATTTAGGAAGATTTATCTGGCTAAGATTTGTTCAAGGAACTAAAAGAAGGAGAGACCAGAAGGCTACTGCAACACTCCAGATGTCAGATCCCATGAGCCAGCGGGGCATGGAGGGTCACTGCCACTTCCTGCAGCCAGCAGAGGGCAGCAGAGCAGGAGCGGGCCCCTGTCCAGGGGGAACTAAAGGAGCAAGGCTAAGGCCCGGGTCTGAGAGGCAAAACCCACCCCAAGAAAGAGAAGAGCTGGGGACATCACCATCCCTAGGAGGCCAGAAGTCAGAACCTGGAATTCAGGACAATCCCCCGAAAGAAGTCGGATGGTGCTCCAGAAACAGCATCCCAGAGCAGCAAGGTCGCTGAAGCACCAGACCCTGCCCCCTCCATTCCTGGGTGGCCACCCAAGAGCCTCTTACAAGGTGACAATGCCCAAGTTCTTGCACTTTTTGCTTCCAAAACATAATACTTATATGAAGACCTCTAATTTATTTGTAAATGGATTCCAGGCCTTTCAAGAGTACAAAATTTGGCTGTACCTTGCCCTAAACTCTGTTTTAAATTCAAAATATTCACTTAGGACTGGTATCTAATTCTCAGAGAAAGTATTTTAAAATTAAAATTAAGCAACACATTTAAATGCTATTTCTAAGCTTCTGACAGGTCTGAAACATCTTGAATACCGACACCATTAATCCACAGACATCAAAATTGTGTTATTACCTTAAATCTTCCAAAATCATTGTTTGGAGGGGGGAAAAACATGATAGCAGATAAAATTGTCAGAATAAGAAAAAAAAAAGAAAATCTCCTTGAGGAAAATTTCCTTTGCATGGTTTAAAAGAAAGACTCAAAAAATTAAAAACAAAAATAGCTGATTTGGAACTGCCCAATTTCATACTTAACTCAGGCTTTGTTAAATAAGCAGAAAAATTAGACATTGTAGGTTTGTATTCACTCTTGGAAAAATGTGATTTCTTATTTCCCTGGAGGAAAGCTTTAAGAGCATCAATAGATTGCTCTGGATATCAAATATTTCTCCATTATTGTGAGTAAATTATATTTGGATCAAAATCAGATGGATTAAATTTCCCTTAAAATACTCAAGAGATTTTAAAAATACAAGGAAATGTGTCACATATCCAAAAACAGTATTTTATCCTAATACCCCCATGGAAATGTCTCCTCATTAGAATATTAGCCAGAAACAAAACTAACATTTTAGATTTTACTGAATTCAAACTAACCTGTTAAAACTAAATCATTTGCCAATGCCAAAATGAAATTCATAATCTTTTGTGCCTTCTAAAAATCCCTGAAAATATGGCTTTACATTTTTGTTTTTAATATGAAAAAAAAATGTATCCAAAAATGAGTGATAACTTGGATAAGAGTCATGATTTTATTTAAATGCTACATATACAACAAAGAATGGAAATATGGTTAAGCGATTCCAAATTCTTGATAAATGCACCCCCGTCAGTGCAAGATTCAAGGCTTAATTATTCTCATCTGTTATTTTTGTCTTCCTGAGTAGACTACAAACTCCTTAAGAGCAGAGATTATTAACTTTTTTAATCATCCATTAGCACCGTGCTGAGCACAACTCTGTGTTCGGTAAATATTGACTGAATTTCTACTCTGTTCAAGGTACCTTGGTAGGTGCTCCAGGGCTGAGATGATGAAGCCAACATGGTTCTTGCCTTCAAGTGTGACCACAAAGAGGGTCCCCCAAGCCCTGTCACTCCTCACCATCCCCTCCCCTACCCAGTTCAAGCCCCAAGGTCAACGTGTACAAAGTTCACTGTCTTTGTTTGAGAAGGTAACTCCATAGGATTTTTTTTTTTTTTTTTTTTTTTTTTTGTGAGACAGTATCTCACTCTTTTGCTCCAAGTAGAGTGCCGTGGCGTCAGCCTAGCTCACAGCAACCACAAACTCCTGGGCTCGGGCGATCCTCCTGCCTTAGCCTCCCGAGTAATTGGGACTACAGATGTGCACCACCATGCCTGGCTAATTTTTTCTATATATTTTTAGTTGGCCACTTAATTTCTTTCTTTTTTTTTTTTTTTTTTTTTAGTAGAGATGGAGGTCTCACTCTTGCTCAGGCTGGTTTCAAACTCCTGACCTTGAGCGATCCTCCCACCTCGGCCTCCCAGAGTGGTAGGATTACAGGCCACCGTGCCCAGCCTCACCATAGGATTTTATAGTCAAAAGTGAACCCCTC